GAGAGAGAGAGAGAGAGAGAGAGAGAGAGAGAGAGAGAGAGAGAGAGAGAGTGTGTGTGTGTCTCTCTCATCTCCTACCACATCATTTATATTTCTTGTCGTTTCTCCCTCTTCAGTCACCCCTAATATGTCATCTCTTGTGCTGTGCGATTTTGAGGCTCGAAACTTCATCAACGCTTCGGGGTGTGAAGTCCCTATTCGTGCTACTCAAATACCGAGTCGACTGTTCTTTTTTCTTACTTTATAAGTTGATTAGCAGCATTCGCTCGCTGTTCAATACTCTTGTTGGCTCCAATTATCACTCTATCTCTTAATAATTAAGCACATTCAAAGCGCGACACACCGGCCCTCGTCATACCTCCATCCAACCCGCTTACCGCCAGGTTTGCCAACGTACGAAAAGAAACGCCATCTGCCACCTGTCTTGAAGATCCCTTATTAAACTAAAGTAAATTTGCCCCGACATACCACCAGCGAATTGGCCGCCTGAGGTACACACACCACACGATTCAGGGCACCCACTCGGTGCTGCTTGGTAGTCGTTTTCCCACACACATGTCTGTGAATTCGACCCATTTCTAGCGCTAATTATGAAAATGCAATTATTTTTAGACTGACCAATATTTTAAAAAAGAAATTGGAATAAAAAAATGAAAGCGCTTGGAGAAACCTCAAAAGAACTGGGCTACCTCGTCCTGTTGGCAAAATATCTGACATCGCTAGACATCAGCCCGGTGACCAGAAGTCTGGCGGGCACGTACAACTGTGAGGATTCGAGCTCAAATCTACCTGAAAAGTTTGAGGCTACCCGTCCTTGGGCAGACATTTTCAGTGTAAATTACGCAAAGTTCAGCTGGACATATAATTTACTAGTTGCTACTCGATTTTCCCCTGCGGTTAGTAATCGCGCAAGACAGATCTAGATGAGTCAAGACTGGCCACAGTTTGTCTCTGGTCTCTGCCAGCCTGCTACTAGTCAAGATGGCAATCGATACCACCCCGTTATACCGTCAGCCCCACTGTACCGGCAACTTCATTCTCGTCCCAAAGTGGGCAGTGTAACGGGGTTTGACTGTACACGGTATTTCTGTATTTGCTTCAGTGGTTTCAGATACATTGTGCTCTAATTTTACGGACAGCGAAAAATTAGACGAAAAAGCCATTGTTTGTATATTTTTAAAAAATCCCACGGTATTCGAATGCCTCTGTCTCACTTCTTACTTCAAATAGCTGCGAATAGCGAAAAAAAATCGCGAATGTTGAATAGTAGTAGAGTCAAATGGACAAAGCTCTCTACTCACCTCGTTTGCGATGCTGATCTCCATCTTCTCCATGACGTACTGCTGCTGCAGCCAGCTCAAGCCTCCAGCGATCAGCTCTATCCGGAGACTGTCGGCGGAGATGAAGTTGGGGTCCAGCCCGGACTGTATGTTGTGGTAGAACATGTCCCGGTACAGCGCCAGCTTCCGCTCTATGTCCGCCAAGTTGCAGACCTCTAACAGATGCTTGCTTAGGTTGCTGTGGACAAATTAATGAGTTTGGTTTAGTTTAGTTTAGTAAGAGTTTTACGGCTAGCGCTCGCAAACTGCATAAAGGTATATGAGTTTATTAGTTCGTTACAAATGAGATTGAATGCAAGTGGGTGGTTGGCAGGTGCTCTGGTGTGGTTTGCTACTTCTTTCCTATCAAACGTATGTCGTCATTATTTTCACTCTTTCTTTTCTTTGTATGTTACTCTCTAGTAAGACCCAATCTTGCGGCAACAACGATGTTTGCTTTTTCCGATATGAGAAAGTGCCCTCTGTCCCCACGCCACCTCGTCCAGATCTTTTACTCTCGATACACTGTAAACCGATGAGTTGTTAGCATTCACAGATTCTGGTTTGTAAAAGCCTGATAATATTATGCTTACTTTGTAAATGAGCAACTGGCCTTCTGCTTTGTGGTATATGGACAGAGGGGACTTTGCCATAAAACAGAAAAATGATACCAAGAAGCACTTTAATACTATGTTCTATTTTCTTGCTTTAGATGATTCTTGAAAGTAACACCACAACAAAAACTAGTTTTTATTTGTCTATGACATAAAAAGTACCCAAACGTACTTAAGTGGATTGTTTGCGACACCGGCGACATGATCAGACGAAACTTTGAACATCACTTTAAATTTTGTGTTTGCCTTATGTGGCGCTGGAGTGACTTTCATGAAAAAGGACGCTTAGATCTACCTTGTCGGTCTGCTAATAACAACAGAGGAAACCTTCAAAATATTCTAGACAATGAACAATGGGTGCAAATTCAATTTTGCTGAAATTGCAAAAGTACAAAAGGAAAGATTAATGTAAGAAAAAAAAGATGGCGCTAACCCCCCCCCCCCCCCCCCCCCCCCCCCCACCCCACCCCATACATTCGAATCACGTTTGGGTAAATCCACTAATTTATCGAGTACCCCAGGCTTTTTTCTAGGTTGAGAGTATGATTCCACCCAGCTCTGATAAGAAGCATTATAAAGCAGCCCGTCTCTTGAATGTCGACATGTTGTGGATTGGACGTAAAATCTTATGTACAATAACAACGATAATTTAAACAGGAGTAGAATAGTAAGGTGTGTGTGTGTGTGTGTGTGTGTGTGTGTGTGTGTGTGTGTGTGTGTGTG